GAAAAAAAGGTGCTGTGAATCACTGGATCGAAAGCACATTTCATGACCGGAACCTAATATAGAATCTGCGTTGGAGAGGACATCGTTCGAACATAGCAGTAACATCAAGAATAATTTGGGTGCCATTGTTAAACTCCTCAAAACAATGTCACGAATGCAATGCATTTTGTGAACGTTAACCGTGCAATACACTTGCATTGGATTGAATGATGTCTCATAAGTATTTCGTATTAGTTTACCGCGCGTTTAGAAAAATACATCGTCATGAAGCCACGGATTCAAAGATTTTATCTATCCTGGTCAAATGAGCACAGTAAACTTGAACAACATGTTAATCTTTTCTAGGTGGACAATGTCACAGCACGTCACACTCGACATTTTTAGTTTTATAGGTGAGTGAATGTTTTTTTGTAAGAAAAAACAAGAAGAACTAAAATCTATTTCTATCGACAATAATCTTTGAGAAAATTATAACAAGCAAGTACACATACGTAGATGTTGGACCATGCACGAAGTATGCGCTATGGTGAAATGTCGAGAACTAAACACAGATTGGTACTATTCGGCTATGAAATTACAAATGAAAAATCGATCTCACTCGCTGGAGAAAAATTTCACAGAAGTATTAGTAACTGCTAGAAGGCTGAGACTTCAGACTATAGCTCTACGTCGCCGGTTTTCAAAACGTCCCTTTCTGACGCTGCTACAAAAGGAGATTTCTCGCGTTACAGACGCGCATACTTCTCGCCGGATAGAACTCTTTCTTTAAACTATTAGTAATTATTCGATAGCGTAATCTTTTCCGATTGCAGCGCTGCGCTTCTTTTCTAAAAATACCGTTTCTCGTCCACGCAGCAGGTAAAATACGTCGAATTCGCAAGTGTGAGCAGAAGAATCTTCGGCACGTGCCTCTGAGTGAGGTGACCACGTGAACTCCTTTCGCAATACATCTCTACGCATTATTATGCCTGAAAAATCGGTGATCATAGCATCATCGAAAGTAGCGGCCTCACCGCGGAGACGTGAATGGTCAAACACCCTTTTGCTTACACATGCTAATTCAAATTGAGTCACCTGCTGCAGAGAAATGCCTTATAGATTATAAGCACATTGTTGGAGTCGGAATCGATTACGCTATTGAGTGATTACTAATATTCTAGAGAAAGAGCGCTGCTTCGTGAGAAATAAGCTCGTCTGCAAAGCAATAAATCTCCTTCTGCAGCAACGTCAAAAAAATGTTTTTTTGAAAATCGGCGATGTAGAGCTGTAGCCTGAAATCTCAGTTTTTGAAAGATTACTTAAACTTCTATCATTTTTTTCCCAAACGATTGAGATCGGTTTTTCCTTTCTCCTCTCATAACCACAAAGAGCCCTTAGTTAAAAGACTTTGGCAGAATTTTATTAAAGCGGTCTATACGGCTAAGAAAACAGGGAAATTAGCCGATATCCAACTCTAACATGAATAGATCCTTTCATTATTATTTGAGCCATCATGTCATGTGGTCTGGTAAAGGCTCTTGTACAGCCCGAGACACGTGTTTCGTCCTTACAGACTCATCAGCCGAGCAGAACCCGTCGTCTGTCGATCTTTTCATAGTCAGTTCTCTCGGGAGCGTCACACTTCTTATATATAGTTATCGACGACCTACGTTTTACACTCTATGTCAGGTGAAACATTCACCTAACACAGAGTGTTTTCGTACTCGATTGCTAGCTGGCTGATATTTTTATCATATTATACCTTTCCTTCGAGTGCTCTATCAAGACCACGCTCAAATTTCAATAGATCCTTTCACTATTATTTGAGCCAACATGTCATGTGGTCTGGTAAAGGCTCTTGTACAGCCCGAGACACGTGTTTCGTCCTTACAGACTCATCAGCCGGGCAGCAGAACCCGTCGTCTGTCGAAGGAAACGTATAATATGATAAAAATACCAGCCAGCTAGCAATCGAGTGCAAAAAAACTCTGTGTTAGGTGAATGTTTCACCTGACATAGAGTGTAAAACGTAGGTCGTCGATAACTATATATAAGAAGTGTGACGCTCCCGAGAGAACTGACTATGAAAAGATCGACAGACGACGGGTTCTGCCCGGCTGATGAGTCTTTAAGGACGAAACACGTGTCTCGGGCCGTACAAGAGCCTTTACCAGACCACATGACATGTTGGCTCAAATAATAATGAAAGGATCTATTGAAATTTGAGCGTGGTCTTAATAATGCACTGATTTTGCTGCGCCTAGAAAAAGCCATTTATCTGATATGATTCAAGGAGACCTAATGAAGGTTGAATAGAAGCTTTGCGTTTATGGGAAAGTTATTTTAATTATTATCGGACGGTTGTTAAGCGATTTTCCAAGCGGCGCGCGCTTTTCATCATATGATAAGAAGTTCTTTTCCATTATCCGTGCCCTGCCTTCTGCTTCCTGTAAAAAAGCGCACTTTTTGAGTTTTCTTAAAGTTTTATTAAATATTTCATAGCTTGAATCACAAGAATTTCAATAGCATAGTTTATTATTGAACTAATTCTTTGTTGCACTGTAAAAGCAAAAATAAAATCAGATGTCACACTCGTGCATGTGCCACAATCATTCATAGAGCGCATGTGGCGCAGTGGTTAGAGGTGCTCTGCGTTGCGCGCGTGGTCAGTGATTCGATCTCGCGCTAATGGCTCGCCAAGCCATCCATCTCTCCGGGGTCTGTGAATTGACACCAAACTGGTCTGAGACTTGTCTGGAAGGATAAGCGCATCGACTCGGTTCAGCGGGAGGCCACCGCACGCCATTGTGAAGGTCAAATATGCATTCAATCACCTCAAAAAAGTTAAAAATCGTAGACGAATGCTTAGCGCATCCCTCAGGGACTGACTAACGCAGAAAGCTTTATGCTCCAGCTTTTACTCAAGCATTTTTTGCTTAACAAAACTTTTCTCCTAGGCTTCTAGTAATCATTCAATAGCTTGAATCTCGACTGCTCCAATGATAACTGTGTTGTCAAAAAAGGCATCTTAGTGGGTGTAGCAGCGAAAAGAAGATTGAATTTTTCTAATAACCGTCACGCTGCAAAAAGGTATTTTGGCGCAAATGTTGCAAAATCTCACCCGCACACCGCAGCAAAGAATGTATTTCGAATACGTTGTCATTTTCTTTTAGCTGTTACATTGTAGCATGAAGTTTATTTCAGAAAATAAGTTTACATTTGAAATCGCCGAGATTTGAGCTGTTGAATGACTATTAGAGCTCTACGGAAAAAGCTCTAAGTAGCGTGAAATTTTCGAGTGTAGAACAAAATACTCAGTTAGCGGCGTCATGATATGAACTATTGAATAAGTACTAGACTCTAAGATGGATCGAAAAACGACATTTCTTTTAATCGGTCGAAACCGGGTTTGGATAAAGAAAAGTACCGGATTTTACTGCTCTTTTAAAGAAAAATTTCAATATTTTGTATTACCCTGATGCACCAAAAATTTCTCTATACGCTCTACCTTTTGAACTTATGTGACTCTTACGTGCGAAGAAAATTTTAAATGTGGAACATAATCTTTTTTTCGCTCCTATAGAGCACTATGAAGACTTCAAAACAATATTTAGCTTCGCAGAAATCGAGATTGCGCTGCTGAACATGTATTAGTTCAGTCTAATGAAAAACCAAACACAGATCCTAGTCGTGCAAATAAAGCGCTCCAAGTGTTAAAGATATATTCGTCTTCGCTGCGACAGCGTAATAAGAAGGCCAGAAATAATCACAATTTTGAAATTGCCGAGATTTGAGCCTACGAGTAAAAACCGAAATTCTAGAATAAAGCTTAGGCTAACGAAATAGATTCTTTGATCACTGAGGGTCAAGAACTACTTTAATCGTTAGAAAAGGCCTTATCACTGCGAACCTCAGTACATCACTGAAGTGGACATATGAAACCGAGATATTTTCAAGAATGTTTGAAGTCTTACCCGACGTTGATACGCGAGGGTTAGACGAGCGTGTTTCGAATAACTCGTCGTCCTCGTCAGTGACCCACGATCTACATCAAGCCCTGCATTCTACTAAGGAGGGAGGCGAATGTGGTGACGGCACAGTGTACAATGACACTGTGCTATCACCACCTTTCAGTCGATGGATCGTGGCTGGTAGAACAAAATTCATCCAAAAAATCGACTGCTTTCTAGACCTCACAATAGATATTCACCATAATTTTTAAGAATGCTCAAAGCCTTACCCAAAGTTGGTGTCGAGGAAGGCGAGATCCCCGAAACACGCGTGTATGAACCTGGCGTACCAACCACGGGTACCGCTTCAAACATTTTTAAAAATTATATTGAACGTTCAATGCGAAGTTCAAGAAAGTCGATGTCTTGAACCTAGATAGATAGGAGAGTTAAACTGAAGGAACGAAACATGTGAAACAAACGGAGGACATTATTGCAAATGGTCCTGCAGGATGATCCTAGCTATTTCCACGAGTACCATACGACAGTCGGCGAAGACTGCAGTGAGGATAAGATTTTCGTTACTGAAGGCGAGCGCTCTCGGAAGGTTGTTTTGATCTAAGCAGTACTACAATCAAGACAGAACACCAGATTTACGACAGGGCAAGACGCCTGACTTTTTCGAAATTTAATCATAGTAAACTTAAGAGAATTGAGATGAGGAAAGTTAGGACTCATGCTGGAGTTGAACCCGCGTTTCATCAATGCCGTTGACGCGTGCTCCCAGTACGCTACCGCGGTGCATTCACAGCACCACTCATTCTTCAACGTCTGTGTGTTAGCTGTCAGCCACCAACCTTTAACAGGTTTCGTCGGGTATGCGATTCCTCTCTATAATCCCAGTTAATCTGACAGCCATTCTAACAGGTATTTTTTCAGATTTCTAGAATTTTTACTGCATTTCTTGCAGTGTCATGACGCTTCATATACACCTAAGGGAACTGAGTGGTGAACAAAATTACAGCTGATAGCTAACACAGCGATGTTCAAGAATGAGGGTGGTGCGGATGTACCTCGGTGGTGTGGTGGTAGCACGTGTTCCCGGTATGGATGAAGCGCGGGTTTGACTCCCGTTTGAGGTAGTACTTTTGCTCACTTTTCTGCTCTTTATATATATATATATATATATATATATATATATATATATATATATATATATATATATATCAACTGTCGTCCCGTTGATCGTCGAGTGACTCGAGCGGATACCAGCAACTTTTCCATTTTTCCATATCGCGTGAGAGTAGCGCAGTGGGTAAAATATATATATATATATATACATATATATAAAGGATATATATATGCATATATACATATATATATATACATATATATGATGGAAATGGAAAGCAATACTCATATTGAGCTACGAGAGCTTTGTGAACTCATGAGGTCCGAAGGAATAATTTTGATTGTTGGCCTAAACCAATCAAGTTTTAGAGCCTTACTTCACCTGCAATCATATCTTGGTACAACACACTCATTCTCTTTCTCAAAGAGCGATATGACGTGTTTTGTTTGCCCTTCATGACTACACATCAACAATGTGTTTCACAATTATTCGGCAAAAATTTCTTATTTCATAGCGGTATGCTTGAATAGCACAAGTCTTGGAGATGTTGAAATTGACTATACTAGCAGATAGGTTCTTATAGAAGGTTGTTAAAGCAAAAAATAAACGTTTTGCTCTCAAAGTAGTCAGCTCTTTCCAAGACTTGCGTTAAAGCATTTCGTTCTCATTAGTTGATTTTGTCACAAGGTGCACGTTTTCTATTCAGTTGACAGGATGTCTTGCACAAATTTGTAAAGTTTTCGGCATGGAAGATGAATGATTCATGCATCCTGGAGCTGATATATGACTCCTTGTCATTTTGGCTGTGGTTTCTGTTACAGTAGGAAATATCATCCATTTCGGGCGGCATAAACAACACTGTATACGCACAATTGACAATTTTTCAAAACATTTCATCTTTGGCATGGTATTTCAGACCTGTAACTTATTCCCTTTCTTTATTTCTTAGAGATGAGTAATAGACTGAAGGTTTTAAAAACCCACTGGTCTCCCTATTGTTGGGCCTCACTCGAAGTAGGCACTGATTTTATTCACTGCTGAACAGTGTTGAGGAGTGGTGTTTGGCTCCACCGGCGCCGCAACGAACACCACAACCACTTGGCCTTGGCTCTCCCCTGCTCACCCCACTCCTTTGTGAAACCGGAACTACTGTAATCAGATAACCCATTAACATAGTCTTTCAGGTAACCCATTGATCCCCTCTCTCCTCTCCCTTGTGGAACCGGAACTACTGTAATCAGATATCGTAGTGACTTAGTTTAGTCTGATAGCAACTGAGAATTGCAACATATTTTTCACATCTTAACATTATAAACGTAAGCAGCTGATTTCGGCGAATGTGATATCCTTCTGTAGTCATTATAACACACTTCATCTGAAGATGTGGCAGCTAGTAATTGGCATCGCTTTCGCCTCTTGTATATCTAAGGAAACCACATAGTAAATTACAAAAGATTTATCAAAAGTGAACTTAGATCACGTATTCTTAGCTTCGAGATTTGGAGAACATTCATACCAGCACAGCAATTCAAGAATTTCAAGTTCAACCCGAAATCATTTTATTTGACCACCTATTGCGGTGTTATGAGCTTTCTAAAGCCCAGTGATGTAGAGTGGTGTGCAAAACCGCTTGCGTCAGCCGGGGTTTGAACCCAGATCTCTATCTTTCTGGGAGCATGTGCTGAACCGTTGCACCACCGACGCTCGTTTTGCATTCCACTCTTTCTACGCTACAACGCGAGCAAAACGAGCGTCGGTGGTGCAACGGTTCAGCACATGCTCCCAGAAAGAGTGAGATCTGGGTTCAAATTCCGACAGAAGCAAACGTTTTCGCACACCACTCTACATCATTGCATTCTAAGTTTATTTTTATACAAATTCTTATAGGCTTTTATACAAATTCTTGAAAGTTTTATAGGCTATAAGTGAAATAGAACAATTCCCATCTACAATAAGTGGAAAATGGTATAGAAGAAGTCGATGGGCTATCTCATAATATTGAGACAAAGTCAGAAACCAGGATCTAAATAGAGAGAGCTGATGTCGCAAAAATTCTTATAGCATGACGCAGAAAATTTGGCGGGCTATCCAACTAAACTACATATCTCGAACATTAACAAGTAATGAATCAGGAATACGAAATAAATGTGAAAAGCGTAATCAATTCTGCATACGTATAGTAATATCTCTAGCACAGAGGATTCACTCGAAAGCAACAAATCCCTTTGGTTTCTAATGCTTATAAGAAATAGTTTTTTTTTTTATGATTAAGCTTCCACTAGAGTGGCACAAATACAGATATATTCGGCCAAAGTTTCGACGCTTTTCCTCTTTTTCAAAACGAATTATTGATGCCCATTGCATACAGTCGCTCGTCCTTGTTATGGTCACCGTGTCCGTTGTCGATCGAGTCGATACTTTTGCAGAGGATATCGCTCAAATGAAGAACTTCACTCGATTATGCCCTAAATTGCAGGACGGTTGCTGACAGTGGTGTTATCCAGTAAATTTTTGATTTTCCTCGGAAAAATCATCCCGTAGTAGTCAGTCTTATTAACAGTCAGCAGAGTTGTAATATACTGTAAGCCGACTTTCCTCTGATCTCGCCTTACCAATTGCTCATGTTTCCCTTGTTGACTGCGCTCATAATACGAGTTTGGTACAAAAATATTCGGGTAATGTTTCGACCCGTTTTGTCTTCGTCAGTGATAACGATCTGAGTCTATTATCCAGAAGAAGACGAAAAACTGTGAATAATCGACTTCAATCATTGGTTGCGAAATAATGCTCAAAACGTTAACCGAATAACTTTCTTTGCCAACCTCGTTCTACATGCGCAGGTGAGAACGTAATTATGACTAAGTGATGATGCCGAGATTTAAGGAAAGTCGGTGTGTCGATCAAAGATTTTTCGACATTGTCAAACTGAACCTGATTAATTAACTCTGTATATGGTACAATTTGGAATCCCATAAGTTCTTTCCGACTATCTAAAGATTCGATCGCGAGCGATACTCTGCTTCTTGCTTGAAAAGACCGAGGGACGTAGTTGAATGCGACGAAAGATATCATGTGGCTGAGAGAACAAGTCATATATTATTGAACTGTCACGCTGTGCCGTTAGCAAACAATGTGTAGAATGCAAAAGCCATAAAAAGTTTTCCATAACAACTGGCATCACCATCCGGTTTCCCTTGAATCTAGCACTTAGCTGGGTGTCAGCTTGTCTCGTGTCATTTGATTTGGAAAACACTCCGCCGTCAATGTCAAACAACTTTGATCATTGGTTGTGAAATAAATTTCTTGGATGAATTTTATTCTACCAGGTACGGTCCATCGACTGAAAGGCGGTGATAGAACGTCATTGTACACTGAGCCGCCACCGCATTCGTCTCCCTCCTTGCTAGAATGCAGGGCTTAATGTGTGGCGTAGGTCACTGACGAGGAGGGCAAGATATCCGAAACACGCGCGTATGACCCTCGCGTATCCAAAGTGGAGTAAGACTTTGAACATTCTTGATTTTCTTCTTTGAGCAGAACACGAGGTGTTATATTAAACTTTATTCGATAGCTGACGTTTCGGCAGTTCGCCTTCTTCAGAGCCTGGAAAGATCAAAAGGTTTGCAATACAATCAGTCAAACACCTCCATTACTTCTTTAGAGAAAATCACCAGACCTAGATTTCAATGGCATCAAGCAAAAATCAACACTCAACATACCCACCGCTTTTTATATGTGTTCCACTGGATGATCCAAGTGGAGATCACCGGCAGAGACATACGAGCCTATGTGTCTCTCTTGCCGGTGATCTCCACTTGGATCATCCAGTGGAACACATATAAAAAGCGGTGAGTATGTTGAGTGTTGATTTTTGCTTGATGCCATTGAAATCTAGGTCTGGTGATTTTCTCTAAAGAAGTAATGGAGGTGTTTGACTGATTGTATTGCAAACCTTTTGATCTTTCCAGGCTCTGAAGAAGGCGAACTGCCGAAACGTCAGCTATCGAATAAAGTTTAATATAACACCTCGTGTTCTGCTCAATGAAGAAAATCAAGAATCATACTGAAGCATGCCGAGGTTAATAGACAGTCGGTCATGGGAACTTTGAACATTCTTGAAAATTGTCTTAGGTTCATATGTCCACTTCAGTGATGTACTGAGGTTCGTACTGATTAAGCCATTTCTAACGGTTAAAGCAGTTTTTGACTCTCATGTAATCAAGGAATCTATTTTGTTAGCCTAAGCTTTATTCTAGAATTTCGGTTTTTACTCGTAGACTTAAATCTCGGCAATTTCAAAATTGTGATTATTTCTGGCCTTCTTAGTACGCTGTCACAGCGAAGACGAATATATGTGTAGCACTTGGAGCGCTTTATTTGTACAGCTAGGATCTGTGGTTGGTTTTTCATTAGGCTGAATTAATACATGTTCAGCAACGCAAACCTCGATTTTTGCGAAGCTAAATTTTGTTTTTGAAGACTTCATAGAGCTTTGTAGGAGCGAAAAAGAAGATTATTAAAGATTATTAAGGAGATAAGATATGTTCCACATTGAAAATTTTCTTCGCACGTAAGAGTTACATATGTTCAAATGGTAGAGCGTACACAGAAATTTTTGGTGTATCAGGGTAATACAAAAGACCGAAGTTTTCCTCTAAACGGGCAATAAAATCCGATACTTTTCGTTATCCAAACCCGGTTTCGACCGATTGAAAGAAATGCCGTTTTTGATATATCTCAGAGTGTAGTACTTATTCGATAGTTCATATCATGAGGCCGCTAAATGAGTATTTTGTTCTACACTCAAAAATTTTGCTCTGCCTAAAGCTTTTTCCGTAGAGCTTTAGTAGTTATTCAAAAGCTCAAACCTCGGCGATTTCAAATGTAAACTTATTTTCTGAAACAAACTTGGTGCTACGGAGTAATAGCTAAAAGGAAATTACAGCGTGACGGTTATTTGCAAAATTCAGTCTTTTTATGGCCACTACACCGACCAAGATGCCTTTTTCG